AGCCTTAAACTCAAGCTGCCCCTCAACAGAGAAGTGCTTGACAGCAAGGTGATCTTCCCAGTCATTAGTCAAGCTCTTGTAGAAGGAAGCATATTCTTCCTTGGTAATCTCCTCAGGCTTACGGAGCCAGATTGGCTTCTGCTTGTTGATCAACTGCCATTCATGCGACACCTCCTTGATCTTCTTCTTCTTTTTCTTATCCTTCTCCTTTTCCTCATCGACATCCTCGACTTCACCCTCTTCCTCCTTCTTGGGCTCATCCTCATCCTCGTCATCACTGATCTCCTTCTCTGTAGTCTTCTCAGTCCATAGGTAAATTGGGTAGCTGATGAACTCAGAGTGCTTCTTCACAAGATCTTTGATCCTCCTCTCTTCCAAGTATTCCAACTGCACATAAAAGCAGCAGATTCATTAGTACTCAGAGAACAACATCATACAATCATATTCTTACTGACATTAATTTATTCTAACCCTTGATTTCAAATTTAACATTCTAGCTTGCAATTACTATATTAGTTTGTAAAAACACAATCATCACTCAAAGCTAATCAACAAGACAGAAAGATTATGTAAAACAATGAATATAATAATATGTGGGCAATAAAAATTTACCTGATCTTCCTTGAGGAAGAGGGTAATCTTAGTACCCCTTCCAAGTTGTTCGCCGGTAGTGTCCCTTGTGACAGTGAAGGAACCACCAGCTTGAGACTCCCAAACGTACTGCTCGTCATCGTTGTGCTTGGTGGTCACAATGACCTTTTCAGCAACCAAGTAAGCTGAGTAGAAACCAACACCAAATTGCCCAATCATGCTTACATCTGCTCCAGCCTGCAATGCCTCCATGAATTCTTTGGTGCCGGATCGGGCAATGGTACCCAAGTTGTTCACCAAGTCTGCAGTAATTCATCTCATGATGAGTACAAATCTTTGGTATACACACATATATTTTGTCTTACTATAGTACCCAGGAAATTTCATACAATTGACATAGGAATGAACTTTTCATTGTAAATAATGCAATGTATAGTCCAGTTTTATGATTTTGTTTCAACTAACATCACAAAAACACAAATCGGCTATGCTCATAACATTTGACATATGAAGCTTACGAGAAAAATACAACTGTGGTACAATATACAGATCTTCTAATTACTAAAGAACAAAACTGAGAAATTTCTTTAAAATCTAGGCGAAACTTCAAAATATGTCCATTAAAATACATATTAACAATCATGTATTTTTATCTACGTTTTCATTTACATACTCAACCTCAGGGCTCAGGTAAATATGAAGAATAATCATGTAGAACCAACAACAATGCAAACAATAACACACAAAATTGCTCTAAATTATCGTCATTGCAAACAAATTAAGAATCGCATGATCGAAAATTTCCAAGCTAAATTACAGAAAAATAAAAATCATGGATTTAAACACTCACACAAATTATAAATAAATAAATCATAATATGATTCGAGTATAAATTGATGTCAATCAAATACATTACCTGCTTTAGTCATGCCGATACCACTGTCAATAATCGACAGGGTCTTGTTAGCCTTGTCAGGAACAAGCCTGATGAACAACTCTGGTTGAGCGTCAAGCTTACTCTTATCAGTCAAACTCTCAAATCTAATTTTATCCAACGCCTACAAAATCAAAACCACAAAAATCATCATCAATCAAATGCACAAAATCAAAATCATAAAACAAATAAAAATAAAAAAACCAGAGGAAAAAAGATGACATACATCAGAAGAATTGGAGATTAGTTCACGAAGGAAGATCTCCTTGTTAGAGTAAAAAGTATTGATTATTAGACTAAGAAGCTGGTTGATTTCAGCCTGGAATGCAAATGTCTCTGCTTCACCCATTGCTACGTCCGCCATTGATGAACCTTCGAGAGAACAGAAAAAACCCTAGGAATTTCGCTTTTTAGAAGAGAGAGAAAATTGGTTACGATTTAGAGAATTGGTTTGAGATATGCTTGCGATTAACAATGGAAGATTTTGTGATGGAGGAGAGAGGTAGAGGAAGGGAGGTTTATATAGGAGAATGGGATGTGTTTATGCCTTTATGGTTCTGGAGTGTTCTACCTTTCTCTAGAGTTTGAAGTGTGTTTTATGTTTTTTTGGTGGGTTTTTTTGAAATTTTTTGAAGTGAAACGACAGCGTTTTGAGCGTTTACTTTTTTGATGGAATCGTGTTTTTTTTAAGAAGGGGAATTCGAGAAGGTTCGAGCCAGCTAGTTGGGTCTGGAATGTTCCCGGTTTTTTCGTGAATGTTTACATGAAAGATTACGGGTAACGAAAAATGGGAAGCCAAACGTTTTTGTGGATTATCATTCATTTGTTTACGGAGTAACTTTTTCCTCGACCAAGTTTTTTTTTATCTACGTACAAATAGTCAAATATTATGTACGTAATATTGAAGTACTTTGTACTTAGGCCTGGTTATTGGGCGGGTCGGGTCAGGATTGATTGCGGGCCGGGTCGGGTCAAAGAGGGTCACATTTTATAGGGTCAATACGGGTCACGGGCCATTAGCGGGCCTTATATGACCCAACCCAATAAGGGCTCTGTCCATTAAAAGCCCTATAAGCTTGGCCCTGACCTTATTATCATTGGGCTACTCTACCCAATAACCACCTCTATTTGTACTGTACATTTTTTTAAAAAATTATATTTGATAATTATATAATCATATCATATCATATAACTAATATATAAAGCTAAACTTTTAGCCAGGTCACGAGGCATCGACACTTGGGGTTTCAAGTTTTCGCCAAGTGTCGCGCCACGTTAGATGAATTTAAATAGACGATTAAAAAGTTAATTTAAAATTCTATTTGGATATAATTTTAGGATAAAATTGTTAGTTTAGAGTTTTATTTTCAATAAAATACCAATATTTTAGAGGTGCACATTAAATTATAATTTTGTTAATTTTTTTTTGATAAAATATAGCAAATCGTTATAAAAGCACATCAATTCCTAACTAATTTGTATCAATGATAAATTTAAAAATTTGACATATATATTGAAAATTTATCTTCAATAAACAACCCGAGCATCGCATGGGGCACAAAACTATTTGGCATTCTAACTTTTCGCCAAATGTCGCGCCACGTTGGATAGATTTAAAAATACTTCATAAGATAAAAAAGTTAGTTTATAATTCTATTATGAATCAAATTTGGATAGAATTTTAGAATAAAATTGTTAATTTAGAGTTTTATTTTCAATAAAATAAAATTTGAGTGTTAGATCAACTTCATAAACAACCCGGGCATCGCACGGGGCACAAAACTAGTTAATATAAAAAGCTAAACTTTAAACCAAGTCATGAGATAACAACACTTAACTTTTCGTCAAGTGTTGCGCTGATATATTTAAATAGACTTCAAAAGATTAAAAATTAGTTTAGAATTCTATTTGGATAAAGTTTTAGGATAAAATTTTTAATTTAGAGTTTTATTTTCGATAAAATACCAATATTTCAGATGTAAATTGAATTTTAATTTTATTCAAAAAAAACTGTTAAATTATATTGCTCAAAAATTATAATATAAATTTATTTTTTATATCATAATTTTTTTTTAGTGAAAGAAGTAGTTTAAAGCATAAAACATCGAATATTATTTCTATGTAGACCTGTCAATTAAGCTTGGGTCATGAGTCATCTCGAATTGGGTCACTTCAGGTTACGAATCAATAAATGTTCAACTTTTTCCCAAAGTTTTGGCGGGTCAACCCAATGGGCTTTGAACATTTATTTAATTTTTTTTTTTGCTAATTTTTTTAATGTATTAAATTAAATCGAACATTTACACCAACATTATTATTAGTCATTACATCCATACTAGATAGTAAATCATCACAAAAGCAGTCATTTCCTAACTAATTTTGTATCAATGATACATTTTAAAATTTGGCATATAGATATAAAATTTATCTTAAAAATCAATAAATAACTCGGGTATCGCACGGGCACAAGACTAGTATCAGTAAAAATCAATTTAAAATAATAAAATTATTATTGATGAGTTATTTACAAAAATTAGATTGAATTATAAGAACTCATTCACTTCATCTTATTTTGTTAAACTAAAATTATCTTTATTGAACCGAAATTATTTTTGCTGAATTTAAATTATTTAACTAAATTAAAATTAATTTTACAAAACTGAAATTGTTTGTGTTGAATTTCTATTATATTTCTTTTTCAAAGTTACTGAATTTTTCTTAAAAACAAAAGTTACCAAATTTTACTGAACTATACTTATTTTTACTTAAATGAAATTATTTTTACTGAACTAAACTTATTTTGATTGAACTGAATTATTGTTAATGTTGTTTTTAGGCTTTGCCGGTAAGAATGTTCATGTGGTTTAAAAAAAATACTTCGTAATAAGAATGTTTTATTTTAGAAATTAGTTTAAACTTACATAACATCGTGTGACCAACCATCATAAGGATTACTTCATTACTGTTATTTGTTATGGGGGTTACTCGACTAGTGTTACAAACGTTATTTCGTTGTGTTATGTGGGTTACTCGGTTAAAACCTGTTCTCTTCAGCTTAATTTCATTTCAGTTTAGTTTTTAATTTTTTTCTTTCATAAACAATTCAGTTTAGCTCAACTCAGTTTAGTTCTTAATTTCCTTTTCTCATAAATAATCTAGTTCTGCTCAGCTCAATTTAGTAAAAACATACCCTTAAGTATTACAAGAGTTATTTCGTCATTGTTATAAGGGATACTAGGTCAGTATTATAAAAGTTATTCGGTCAATATCACAGGAACTATTTTATTCTTTTATAAGCAACCACATAGAGTGTCTAGCCGCAAACAAGATGTCTCTCCCAATCCCACCCCGCCCCTAAAATGGGTCTTCCATTTGACTCGACCAATGCCAACCCTAATTGGGTAATGGTGACCCCAATTTTCAACTATGTTTGCTCAAATGCTCACCCTTTGTCCTTATTGGGAGAGACATGGACCATTCCTCGTCTAGTAACGCACCATCATACTGCCTAAAAAATGATGTAAGAAAGTTGTTGGACTTTTCTCTCTACTCGATCGTTAATGGCAGGTGGTGGAACCCAGAGAAAGAAGAAGAAACTCACTGAACGATCCAACTCAGTTCCTCACTCGTCCATGCCTTCTCCCTCTCCTTCTTCTCCTTATCGATGGCTAACTCGAGTTATCCCAATTGCGCTTCTTCTCTTTGTCCTTGTTCTTTTTGGCATTTCGTCGAACGCCTGGGTTGCACTCCCTCACATTTCCCAGAAATTTCAATCTAATCAGATTTTTTCCATTGATGTTGTTAATGATTTTCCCCATGATCCCAAAGCTTTTACCCAGGTTTGAATTTTTCAAGTTGTTGTTTCCTGTTATTATGTATGAATTTTGATTGTTGCAATTGATTAAACATTTGAGAAATTATGCTCATTGTGCTAAATTACATGAAATTTGTTGGCTGCGATTAGGGTTTTTCTGTTGTAATTTAATTTATCGTTGAATTTCTGATTGTTATGAGTTCATGATTTATCTTGGGGGGAAAGGGATTTGCATATTGATGACAGATTTGATGATAATTTTGTTTAGAATTGTGTGATAAGAGTACATTGAATTCCTGAATTTAGGGTTTTTCACTTGTTGATTTTAGACTTAGCTCATAAGTTTTTGTTCTAATGTTCGTGCTGATTAGATTGGATTGTAATGATGTTGTCACAACAAGAAGTGGTCAACTGTAGGATTTAGATGATCAAGCTAATGTGCCATATCAGGCTGATTAAAATCAATTGGGTGACTTTGTCGATGATAGTTTATCCCTTGAATTTATCTGTAGGTTGTTCAATGAGTCTAGATTTAAGAAGTAAAGCTTTCAAATTTCAATATGTATATTGTTAAATTACATGTCGTGGCTGGAGCCGTCCAAAATTTTCCGATTATATCGAATGAGGTTTGGAGTGGTGGGTCATTTGAGTGTGCTTATGCTGAGTTTAGAAGTTTCAATTCTGAGTGTGCCAAGTGGGTGTTGTTTTGTGCTAAACAAGCGATTATACATGTGTGTGTGTTCCCGGAGACTAACATCAATATGTGTCTCTTTCCAGGGGCTTCTATATTGGAAAAATGACACTCTTTATGAATCAATTGGTCTTTATGGCCAGGTGAGTTCTTCCTCGAGTTTTGATTTGGTATGCTTGGAAGAAGTAAGAACTTCAATATGTCATGAATCAAGCATGATTAACTGTTTAGTGCACAAGTTATAACAAGGCCATTGCTTGATGATACTACTTCAAGTTATTCTGCAACTCTTCCTTCGAAAACACTCTCTCTTCTAGTTAAAAATAATTAGAGGTAGACTACACACCTTTTGACTTCTTTAGACTACTGTTATTTGCCATACCTGTTGGTTTTCTGTTGCCACTGTTACTGTCCTTGTTATACTGTTTCCCACTCCAATCTTAAGAAAGGAAATCAGGGTTCATCAATGTTTCTTTATGATGGAACCATCTCAAAACTATTCTTTCTTTCTGAGCTCCTCTTCTTTTCTATTCCCTCTAACCTTCTTTCCACTATCATCCAAAATAAAAAAAATTAAATAAAATAAAATTGTCAGAATAAAAAAATAAAATAAAAAATTAAACTATACATCCGTGTTGTTGGTGTTTGGATAATTTTAATGTTTGTAATCTGACTTCAATTTAAATCTTGCAGTCTGCCGTGAGGAGAGTTGCTCTACAAACAGGAAAGGTACACTTTTTTTTTTAATTTTTTTTTAAAGTACTTTATGTTCATTTCCACTTCAATTTGTGAACTTGATGATCTAACATGGTCTAGGAAGTTTTAATATCTTTGTCGGTTTGTCCTGTGAGGTTTTGTTTTTATTTTTATATTTAAATAGAAATTTTTGCATCTTGCATGAATCTGGAATTTTAGAGACTCTCCCATTGTATTAAACTATCCAAGAGTTGGTGTCCTATTAAATTCAACAGTGGTGATAATGATATACCTGCTATTGTATTATCGGGACTAACTATGCTAGTTTATACTGGTGTTTATGTTATACCTGCATAGCATCTGGGGCTTCGATAAGGTACCACAAAGTTCGCTTGAACAGTATAAGATTTAATTTAGCTGTTTTATTTTCTTGCCGGTTGCTCCTCTCCTTCTCATAGGTGATTGGAAAGATCTTCCACATGCGCTTTTCTTTTTAGTATTTTATTTTAATTTTTTACTGTGCCAATTTATTGCTTGTGTAGAGGGGCTCTAGATTTTAATTTTCTGTACTATTTCCCCCTGTATACCCAGATGAAAATTATTCGTGTTATACGTGTGAGCACATATTTATTATGCTTTTCATCTATTGAGTTTTGTTGACTGCTTCTGATAGTTGCATCCCTTGATTTAACAGGTTGAGGCTGAGTATAAGATGGATTATTCTTCTTTTGGGGAAGGATTAACTCTCTTTGGTGAAAGGTATGTATCCCTAATTGTTTTAGTAATAACTTTTTTACTTTTGGTCATTCTCTCGTTAATGCTGTATGTAGAAAAGTCCTTGAGATTTTTAGTAGTGGCTGTGAATGTATGTCCAGTTGAGTGGCTGTGATTGTATGATTCTTTTTCTTAGCATAGTTTTCTGCTGGCTTGCTCTCAACATTTGGGTATGTTGTCAAACAAGCAGCTTCTTTTATGTCACATATACGGCATACACTCTTGTCCTTCATTTGATAGTTTGGTACAAGTTCATAGGCTATGATAGAGGGAAATTTAATTGCACCATAAATGAGAAATCTTTGTCTAATGGACATAACGATTGACTTAGAAAAATGGTAACTGAACAAGTCCTTCGATTAGCCAAATAGAAATCTCAAATTAGCAAGCAAATAATTGTGGCTCTATTATTGGCCATTATTTATAAATGTCAAAGAAAGAGGTCTTGTATATCAAGGCAAAAAGACGGCTATTTTATACTATAGTTTTCTGAAATTTATAACTTCCTCTCCAATGAATCTCAGAATAATAATTTATGTATGCCTTTGAAGAACCTAATCTATTTTCTTTTACTTTAACACTAATTATTCATCTTAAGTGAATGAAAATGTTCAGTGGCACAGTACTTTGATGTGTTTTCTAAATCATTGATTATTGCCTTTGTAGGTTGTATCAACTTACGTGGTTGCAGAAAATTGGTTACATCTATGACAGACAAAATTTTAACAGAGTCTGTGTTACATTCTTTACCTATCTTGATCTATTTTTATTGTTTATAATTTTTTACGACTTAAGAGTATTATGTATTGTCTGATTTGCCATAAAATATTGATTTAAATCTCGCTGGAAGTCTGGCCTACCCATATCTTCTGGATTTGCATCACATTGCTTCAATAAAGTCCATTTTGGTTTCATTTGCTGGTTAATACTTCCTCTGTTCTTTTTTACTTGACCTGTTTCTTTTATCACGCTTGCCAATGCAAAACTTTAACGATCAATAACTTAAATTCTCCATAAGTAAAAATTATAAAAGTTATATATTATGATAGTACTTATTGAGACGAATCCAAAAATATCATACATTAATATATTTTTCCTTACATATTATTCACAAAAGACGGTCAAAGGAGGGGTGGTGAATAGTGTAAAAGTCAAAGCGGGTCAAGTAGTAAAGAACGGAGGAAGTAAAGAACTGTCTTCTGTGTAAATACCTTGCATTTTGATTTTTTGACTGCTGTTATGAGATTTGTTGCATTTTGATTTTTTGACTGCTGTTATGAGATTTGTTGCATTTTGGATTTTTGATACTTAAAGCTTTATAACTGTTAAGTAAACTTCAATCATAGTTTTGATGTATGTCTGGTTTTATCTGTGATACAATATTTTAAATATTTGGCATGCAATTGACTGCTCATAGTCTTCAACTAAAACTCCAATTTGTTCAAGTGTGGTGAAGACTGCTAAACTTGTTCTGTGACTTGTGAAATTATCTTGATTGTGGGTATGAGATGGAATCAAATAGGGTATATGATGTCCAAAGTGAACATGTTTTGTATGCACTTCATTCCTTGTTTCTTCCATTTCTTTTTCTTATTTTCCCATGTCTTCTTTCCTTGCACCTTACTTGAGCTTGCTGTACATAATTTATGCTTTTCTTTGATCATAGTATTCATTCTTCATATTTCAATAGTAAGCCTCACAGCTTGTTTTTGCTGATTCATTCACCAACACCATATCAAAAGATTGTTGTAGACTTGTATTGAAAGCACCTGCCGTGGATGTTATGTGTATCTTTTGTTTGTTTGACAAATTTTTAAAACAAATATTAGGTCAATTGGTTATAGCTGATCTAATTCATGGACTCCTGTTTTGTGTTCTTTTTTAATGCCTTTGATTGATTAGTTTAGATGCTTTACTTATTTATGCCTACATGCTTCTTGCAGCTAGCATCATTTACGCATCAAATGAATGATGGTTGGGGACTTGCTACTGATGGTAAAATCTTGTTTGGAAGTGATGGCTCTTCAACATTATATCAATATGATCCCCAAACTATGAAAGGTACCTGTTTATGATTTCACTGCTCTTCTCATTTAGTATTCGAAACATCCCTGGTCTCAAAGTTCATTTGCTATTTCCCCACATTGCTATTTGGTGTATTATCTTTCCTCAGTCTGACATTTAGAATATTCTCCACCTCTCTATTCCCCTCCCCCTCCCCCTCCCAAAGATAAATTCAATAGGAAAAAGGTGGAATAGATGAGATCTTAGGTTTCATATACATAAAACTTGCATGCCAAGATGTCATTCACTTGCTGTTGTACAGTGGGAGTAAGTATGTGCACGAACTGTTATTGTGCAATACTGCACCTTCAACTTCAATGTCTGTCTTTTGTCTACTTTTCTACTCGTTGCTATCTTTTCTGAAACTTATGTAATTTGAATGTAATCTCAGCTCAGTTGTGGGTGCACATAACATTTCTCATATACCCTTGGTTCTTTAGAAGAATATTTTTCTGCTCTGCTGTTTTCTTTTAGTTAATGACATACTTAACCTTACTTATGTTAGCACTTGTTTACAGAAATTCAAAGGCAAACCATTAGATATCAAGGTCTTGAAGTACACAACCTGAATGAATTAGAGTTTGTGAATGGTGAAGTGTGGGCAAATGTTTGGATGGTAATACATTTGTATAATTGTAATACTGTGGCTTTCTGCTCTGTTGCTTGTGTTTTCAAACCTACGGAGAAGTTCACTGAGTCAGTAAACTTTTGCTTGAATCTTTTTGAAGCATCTGTGTTTGCATATTGAGCTTGCAGCCTGGCAGTGCCAACTCATGTGAAATATTTCATCTTTTTCCTTTCAAAATCTGAGGCCAACTTTACTTCAGTTCCAAAAAGTTATACTTATTATATATTGGCAGTTGACAATTTTCTCTATAATTTAGCCAAGAGTCTGGTTATGTTATGAGAGGGCGTTATTTTAGTGCTGACAGCAGCTTTTGTAATATCTTTTATAAATGGGCTAATTACTAGTGCTTATTGAGCAACTTGTTTCATATCACTTTGAAAGTCTTCTTTTACATTAGATAATTTTAATTCATGATTTCTATGGGTAATAACTCCATTTTTAGAAAGTTTTTCTATGCTTCCTAGGAAGCCTAAAGAGTGTGTGTGTGTGTGTGTGTTTTTTTTTTTTTTTTTTTTTTTTTTTGGGGGGGGGGTGGTTGGGTGGGTGGGTAAATATGAGGCCTGAAGGTTGCTTGTAATGGGGCTTGGTAGCACGTGTTTTTCTTGGGGCCATGTGAGCCTTCTAAAGTTGATTCGTTCTTCGTGGGCAGACTGATTGCATTGCTAAAATATCACCTGGAGATGGCATTGTGGTTGGGTGGATTCTTCTTCCCAATTTGAGGTGCTCACTGAATTTATGCAACTAATCTCATCTTTTTATTTTTTCTTCCTAATATCATATTGACACCTTTTTCTTTTGCCCAAATTTTCAGGGAAGGATTGATAGCTTCTGGTGAAAAGGTAATAATTCGACTCTATCAGATGGCCCATGATTTTATTTTTCTATTATTATTATTACGTAATTTTTTAATGAGTCTTTTTACAAGTGATATTCTTGAAAGTTTTCTTATGTTGCCTGCTGTGATTGCCTCAGTGTTATAGTTAGCACATGATGGGGGCCTGGGGGGTGGGTACTGGACTACTGGTTTTGTTGTGAGCCCTGCAATAGGGTATCCTTTAGAGGGAAAAAGGTTCTAAATTCTCATATATGACATTTTACATTTCTGTAGAGTATTGACGTTTTGAATGGCATAGCTTGGGACAGCAGTAAACAGCGCATCTTTGGTAAGCTATTTCTTTTGCATGTTACCTGCATGAGGAATCAATCAATTTTAGCAATGCATAAGCAGAGATATTTTGAAACTTTCATTCACAAGCCACAGTGCTTTAAATGATGAGTTAAATACTAGTAAATGTTTTTTTTTGCTCTTCCTATGCCCTTTCCCACATAACTTTTTAGCCCAATGCGACTTAGCTGGGTGATTTACCTCAAGGTCTCTAAATTCGTTCTTTGTTCTTAGCCTAATATCAACATTCCTTAATTAGCTTCGTCTCCATTGTAAGTTTTCTGTTCTGATATATTTCTAAACCTAATTGGACCATTCCTTCTATGATGTAAATTATTACTCGTAATAATTTTAAGCTGCTATAAATAACAGTTAATAGATGTTTAGTATCTGTATAACAGAAGAGTAAATATTGGTTCTTTAACGTGCGCAGGGAACATAATTAAGCAAGCTCTCTGCTAGTCTGCTTGATAGTTGTAGATCAAATGCTTTTTTTTTTGGCTGCCTGTCTAATTTGTAATGGCCAGACTTATAAACATCTGTATTACCCCGTACAAGATACTGGATCTGATTAAGGCCTTAGCCTCCTAGGTTTATTAGGTCCTAGATTCAATTGCCCCTTTCGTTTGTGCCTCATGTGTATTACAGTAAAAGGTAAAAATTTTAGATTAAGGAGAAGACTAATAGAGTACAAAAAGGTCTTTAAGTCCATCATGACCTAGTTGGGTTTATAACATTCTTTCCTTGCAGTGACTGGTAAACTTTGGCCGAAGCTGTATGAGATCAAGTTGCAACCAGTGAAGGAAAGTGTAGATATTAAGCAGCTATGTATCCGAGAGCAATTTCATTTCTAGAGCAGCAGGCCATGCCAACAAAGATACTAAATTAGTTATTTTTTTGTTCTTGATACAAATGGAGCTGGGTTTGTATATACAGTCCCCGTCGGATCTGGTTGATAGTTCCTACTGGTCAGCTAAGTTGGAATGTTAAGCAAAGCTCTGGTAGTAAGCGTTTGCAGGGTGCCAATGAATTTGACACCTGCGAGCTCTCTCCTCCATCTTAATACTTGTAACTCTATTTATTTTGCTATACATAGAATACAAATCATTAGAAAAGCTTTGGGGACTTCTGGTAAAAGCTTGTAATTATCATGATGTCCAACTCTTTTTTATTTGAACAAAGATAGGTTACTCCTTCCGGTTTCGAGTCGGATTTGGTTACTTTTCCATTTATTCCTTTATACTTTGTATATTTTGGAATATTGTTTTAGGCTTTTGGTTTCGAATTCTGATCCGTCTTTGGGTTGATCAAAATTTGCCTGGTCAATTTTGAAATTTACATACTACAGTATTGTTACTTGTTTCACACGATCTTCAACTCTTTAAAAACATAATGTGATTTATGTATAAGAAAATATAGAGTCATATGGGGTTTTGTGAAATTTATCTTGAGCTACATTTTTACTTTGATGAAATATACGGAGTATTTACCGGTCTCCGCCCCCGGTATTTACTTCGGAATACGGAGTAAGATTTAAAGAGAAAGCTTTAAAAACTAAGGGTAAGTTTATTACAAGTCTTAATCAAAGTCTCAACATGAGTCTTACTCAAGATTCTTGCAATAAACTCATCTAAGACTCATGTGAGTCTTACATGGAGTTTGGAAAATCCTAACTCATGTCAAGACTTTGCAAGGCCAATGAAAATTAGCCACCTCACCAACCAAAAGTTTACAATAATTTTTTTTTTAAAAAAAATAGTATTTTACAAAAAAAATAAATATATTTTGAAGAGGATTAAATGAGTTTGGAGTGAGTTTTGGGATAATGTGTAAATTTGGAGAAAGTCTTGTATGAATCAGAATAATATAAAAATATTTTAAAGTTAGTGAAAAGCTGATGTGGTAGAGTTCGAAATCTGGATCCGGGTCTGGGGATAAACTCACCCTAAATCTTCAAATAACTTCATTAATATAGGTAACCATTTACTTCATTTTCTAATTTTATTTTTAAGTAAAAAAAAAATCAATTGAGGAGTAAAATTGGCAAAGCAGTAACGTTTTTAAAGTGAAAGTTAATTAAAATAAATCAAGATTAATCAAAACCAAGCTTATGAATTGTGTCCTCGAAAAAAAAAAAGGTTTATAAAATATGTTAAAGTGGAAACATGTCATCTAATCTGAAACGTTAGAAGTCATTAAAATAAACGAATAAATAAAAAAACGGTTCACCTTCTCCAGTTTTCTCCTGCCCAACAAATAGAAGAAAGAACAAACCCACGTCCCACCATTAATTTTGCTGAAAAACGCAACATCCACCTCTTCCATCTTCAATACTTCATGATTCATACTTTTAATTTCTATATCCTTCATCAATCCGTCAATTTTAAGGGCTGATTTGACTTTTATTTCCAAAAATTAGGGTTCGTGATTTATCTCTAGTTTGGAGATTCCTAAATAATTTTGGTAAGTGCTCTTCATTCTTCACTTCTTATTTTGAGCTGTATTTCTAGTTAATTTTAGCTTATACTACTGATATTTACCTGTGATTTGTTTTTATCGGTCATTTGTTCATTCATTTATGATGATTTGTTGTATTTAATTGTCGATTTGAATATTGCTTGATCGATAATATGATTTATTTCAATTAATTCAATCACTTATTGACAAACTAGTTGTTATGAATTGTAAATCTTCATGTCTTAATGCTTTTAATTTATTTTTGTGAGAGTTAGTGATCCTAAATTCACGAATCCAATTTAGTTGTTTCACCTGTAGTAGAATTATAAATAAATGTCTGCTTGTTTAGTTGCTAACTATGTCATCATTTGTACCAATGCTGTAGAATTTATCAACTGAATGTCTTTAACAGGTTGTTGTCCCGAAGTACGGTGCATTCGTGACTCTCGAATTGTTGCCGGTTTTATTGTAATTTGATTAAGCAGGAGAGAAAATGGATGATGATGGAAGTAGTTTGGCAGCTCCGACGATCTTTATCCTCGTTGCCTTGCTTCAGTTTATTCCTAGATACTTAGAGCACCAAATTAAGGTAATGCATTATTCTCTCTACTTGAGTATAGTGCACACGCTAGTATGTATGAATAAAGAGTGTAATAAATTCCTATGAGCTCAAGAATTGAAAAATACGACGAGTAGATCACATTTTGATGTTTTACGGTTTAAGGAGTGTATTGGAAACTTATCATTTCCTGTTACAGAAGCTGTCGTCGTACAAATCAGTTATGGTATCAGAAAAGATGTCATATAGCTCTATACTGTTATTGTCTTCTACGAAAAATTGTGCACACTTTGACTTCGGATTCTTTTAGAATGGTACCATGAATTCTGATGATTAAGATTTATATGATTGTGGATTTCTTTGATTTTCTTTTTTTTTTTTTTTTTTTTTTTTGGGGGGGGGGGGGTTATCCCGCAATATGCTTAATCTTTATGATTTGTAGCACTAACCGAGACTTTATTGGCTTATTTGTTTATTTTTCTCTCAAGAGTGGAGGAGCTCCGAGTGATGAGGAAAAGGAGCTGCGCGCAGAAATTAAACAGCTTTTGAAAGAAGCTAGCACATTGTCACAGTTGAGTCTTGTTATTTCCTGTTATAGTTAGATCAAATTAATGCATTTAAGTTGAACTCTTCACCCAGGACTGATTGAAGCGAATTAGTGCTGCCTGCCATTTTCTGTATACAGACCTTCATGTAACTATCACAAGGAAAATATTATTGACTTTTCTGCTTTCCCTATATATTATACCTCCCTTGGCAATATCGTGTGATTCGTGTCTTCTTACCTTCGCGTATATTGTTGACAATAGACCATCGACGTTTGCACAAGCAGCAAAACTTAGGAGAACAGCAGCAGCTAAGGAAAAAGAGCTTATAAAATGTAAGTGAAAGGAAACCATAGCTTGTCATTTTGTCAGATTAACAAGCATTAATAAATCATCTTGACTTGTTGGTCATGTAATGCGACTTATTATTTATTACCGAGTTGGTCTATAGCTGGTTTAATGTGTGTCCTTTTTTCTTTGTTGAGACCAAAGTGATGGTTTTGATATTGTATATTGTGTCCAAAATTTAACTTTGGATGTATTTTTTTCTTTTGGCTTTTACTAATTTCCATATGTGCTGTTGGATTAGTATTTGGTAATTTGACGCAGTACTATACAGCTGTATTAGCAAATGGAGAATTCCTGTGGGATCTTGAATTTGTTGATACATAATATTGATTTTGGTCTTGTGTTTGACATCACTTGTAGGGCAAGAACAACAAATTCTAGATAGGAAATCATTATACGATCCATATATGAAGTATGTGACTCCTGTAAAGGTGCCTATTTGCAGACTCTGCTTGTGCTAATTCTTTTGTGCTTGTACATTTCAGGTTTTAAATTAATTTGTCTGTGTTTCAGGCATTAACCTATCTTTTGCTGGGAGTTTGGTTTTGGAAATACCCTGTTGGATCAATATCTAAGGAGCTTGTACAACCATTTGGTGAGGAACTTCAACCACTTGCAAGTCATTTTATTGCAATGTTTTTGTTTCTTTATTAAGCTTCTAAAAATTTAGTGTGTATGGTTTTTACATTAGCAACTAACCCATTTTTGAAACTACCTACACTAATCTTTGGAAGAATCAGAGATGGTGTTTGGGTGTTAGCTCATGATACAATTTACTGCCTACAGTCTTGTAATTATATATTTTCTTGGCGCAGGAAGGATGCTATCTTGGAAATCTGGTGGTGGTTCAGAGGACAAAGTAATGGTATGAGTGTGATATGGTTCTTTTCTCTTTAATTTTTGCATGACTGGTCGATTCCTACACCTCTCATTTTGCAAGTTGACTACTTACCTATCAAGGCTATGGTTGTTAAGGTTTTAGAAGATTTGTTGGATGCAAAGTTGAATTTTCATTAAAAAAAAAAATGTATTTGTTGTGTTAAGTGTTTGAAATAATTTACGAGCTTCAATCTTGATAATGATCTGCCAATGCACATACCTCAAGTCTTGAGTCTTTATCCTGCTTCATGCCAAATCTGCCTTATACCCAGAAGCAATCTTGCATGGCATGCATTGTAGCTACCTACACTACTAACCGTTGGACTTTTGTCAGATTCCATCCACCCCATGCTTATTTATATCACATTGTATACATTGGGTTGGATTCCCCAACAACTTCTCCCACATCAGTCACCAGCCTTCTGTAAGATATCAGTTTCCATGATCTTAAATGGGGTCTTCTAGTCTAACTTCAGACTGACACTTTCACGGGCTTCATAGGACTGATAGGAGTCATAGCTGATGTCTTTCATTCAAGACCCTTGAGATTTTATCCTTATTCATCTATTTGCCAGTCAGCCAGGGTGCTTGCTAGATGGTATGGCATATGTAGCTTGCTCACGTTGTAGAAAGTATCTTTTTTATCCTGTTCAGTGTGCTATGTCTTGTGATTTTATTACTCCTATGAATCTGACCTATGTGCAAGAAATCTTGAGCATCCTCAGCATGCTCTTCATAAAACCCTTTATGGAATAATTATTTTTCCCTGACATCAGTGAAACTATCCTTTATGTATTTTTGTCCTGTCTTCATAGCCATATCACACAACAATGAATTTTCTTTAAAAAAAGCATCTTCAGATGCAGCTAGGTTACTGAATGAGGCTCCTAGCGATCCTATATTTGTATCCTACATGGAATCTGAGATGTGATAGTTGGCCCTCCAAAATGAATGCCTTCTGTCATTGAAACAGATTTCACCCTTGTACAAAGTATTTGGGATGAGCAGGTCAGAGCCACTTACCCTTCCATTGGGTTTCTTAAGTGGATGGCCTGAACTCTGAAGTGTCTCCATTTTCAGGCTTTCAGCTGCTGAATTTACTCTACGTGCTGATCTTTTTATGATATTTTTTTTATTTAAGTTAACTAAAGATCCCATATTCATCTCACAATTACACCGAACATGCAAGTGTCTTCTTTGTTTTTTGGTTATCATGTTCTGATGTTCATATTTTGATTTTGATACAGTTAGTGATCTCACTTCAATATAAAAATAAATTATAACAAAAAATTCTTGCTAATCCTGTGTACGCAGATTGGTATTGTACCTTGGCTAATATTATGCTCCAGGGTTAGTAAGCTCATCTGTCGGAAGGTCATGTAAGATTTTACTGGTGTTTTGTGGTCAGCAGCTAGCTGTTTAATTCAGATTTCTGAAGTCTGAGTGAGCATTTGAAATATATGGGTTCATGTTGCTGTTTTTGTCGCACTGGCACAAACTTATAAAGCAAGCGTAAATCAATAGAAAAGGATCAACGTATATAGCACGCTGGAAGGCTTTGAAACTTTATCTTGCTTGGTCTTATGCAGATATCTCATACGAATTATAACTGATCTTTTTATGTTCTTTTTTTTTCTTTTTGGATTCTTTGAAGAATACATGTCTCTTGCTGGTTCCTAATACAAAGTAAATCTTTATTATGTGCTTTGTAATTGGGTTCAATGGACAAGTATCATTTCATTCTCACATATTTTGCTGAATACATGGATTCTGAATTCGCTTCTGTCTAGATTCATTTATACTCCGTTTGAGATATATCAACAGAGTTTGTCACTATATCTCCTTAAGGATGGCATTCCAATTATTGTGTTTACTGGAAATTGAATGAAAAATTGAAGATCTCCTTCAAGTTGGCTTATAGAGTTTAATGTACTTTTCTTTTTCTTTTTCTTTTTTTAAAAAAAATTGTTTTTTTAAATGACAGTCTTGGGACTAGATTACAAAGAATAAGAGCTTTATGCCTAGAATGCTAGAAAACAGGGGAAAATATAGTCGGAGTAGAAAATATTTTACAGTCCTTAAGTTAAAAACTGATCATCTTATTACCAAAACCGCGAAGTTAAAAAAACTAGAATTACATCTGATTAACCTAATATCTAGGAGGTTTTGGCCTAACTGTACAAATCTTCAACTCAACATCATCAATAGGAAGTTTATCAGTAGGGAAAGGACAAGGCACTACTTTACCAGGCTGCTTATCAGGCAACAAATCACAAGCTTGAGGATTAACTCCACTAGTAGTCCCTTCAATGTTTGTGCAATTCCACTGAACTTTCTTATGTTTCTCAGCCAAAGAAATAGTAACATTAGAGAGACAGATCCCGGTGAACTTATCATTCTCGATTCCTGCAAGATTTCCTGACATCTGAACATCCTCAGCTGTCACATCCTGGTAATTGATCCCGCTGATTATAGGCAGCGCCTTGGGATCGAAACCTGGATCAGGGTGGGATCCGTAGTCGCCAGTCATCCAAAACACATACTTCATTGTACTCAAGGTCATGCCCTTGACAAATATGTCCTTAACAAAGGCACCCCTTCCTGGGGCTGTCTTAATTCTGACCCCTGATTCTGTGTTAATTGCTGTGATTTGTTCTGCCCTTACATCTTGGATTCCACCTGACATTTCACTGCCTAAGGCAATTGTTGCACTATCAGGGGAAATGCAGGTTATTCTTCGAATGTTTACATGTTGTGTTGGCATTCCGAATTTGATCCCATATTGATCCCAACCACTCTTGATCGCGATACAGTCATCTCCTGAGACTATATAGCTATCCTCAATCCTAACATTCGAGCAAGAATCTGCATGATTATAAGAAATAGGTTGAAGAGTTTAGGCTTTTGGCGATATAAGTTTGTACACACATCCACAATGTTACTGAAATTCTATAAATCACCTGGATTGATCCCATCTGTATTAGGAGAATCCACAGGAGCTAAGATGGTTAGGCCTTGGACTATAACATTGCTGCAATAAAACTCTAAAGATTAATTTCATAGGAACAAAAGTATATATTCAGGTCAAAATGAATTATATAAAGACTAATCAACCTGCTGTAAATAGGATGCACATTCCATGAAGGAGAGTTCAGTAAAGTGAGATTAAAGATTTGAACTTGATCAGAGAACATAATCTCGATTAAGTAAGGACGCGTCAGATTAAGCTCTTGCTTCTTAAACTTGTCCCACCAGTAAGCCCCTTGGCCATCAATTGTTGCATTGCCTCCTATTGATTTAATGCATAAGTTTTTGATGATGACAGAGTCTGTTTAGTAAAGACAGATTAGCTAGAGAAATTGGTTATAGGATGATTAAGGTGTTAAGAATATTACCAGTAATTACAACATCAGTAAGGTTGGTTCCAAAGATGAGACTAGCATATCTCCCGGCCGGAGCGTCCCTGCCTTTTCCATAGGAAGGCAAGGGAGGAAGAACAGGCCATTCTGATTCATCCTGTTTGACATATAAGAATGACCAAGAAACTAATGAATAGGAAATGAAATCCTATGGTTTATAAATCCAATATTAGGTGTAATATGGTCATATTGGTATACTAAAAGTTTTAATTCCAAGATTTATAAAATCGCCAATTATTTGGGACATCCTAAAACAAAATTGTTGCCAATTGTTGGACCGAGGGAATATTAAAAACCCTCGTCCTCCCATTTATCGATACATAAATTTGATAAGTTCGAATTGGATTTATATACTTGTATGTTGTATACACACAAATACACAATAGAGGATCTCATGCCTCCCTTTGTCCATCCAAGTGTTATGTTTAACGAGTGAGAGTATGAGAGGCCGTGTATGTAACAACTTTAAAAGCACGGTTCTCCATACTCTTAACGAGTGGCCTTGTATGTAACAACTTTAAAAGTACAGTTCTCCATACTCTCAAGTGCACGATATAATTTGACTAAACTTTAAATAGGGGCATTATAGTATTTGACTAAACTTTAAATAGGGGCATTATAGTGACAACATTTCAACTATTAATCATGTTTAGAATTGAGTTTTATTACCTCGGAAGCAATAAGAACGGCATCTTTGTCAAGGTAAAGAGTAAAGCTACTAGTGAGATTGAAGCTGCCAGTCAGCCATTTCCCTGGTGGAACAATAAGTTCCGCCCCGCCATCGGATGCATACTTGCTTAGGCTAGCAATGGCTGATCGAAACGCCTTGGTGTTCGACGTCTTTCCATCTCCTACGCCACCAAAATCCGTCAAAAATGCACCATGCTTTCGACACCCTTTCGGAACTCCGCCCTCCAACACTCTAACCGTTCGACATTCCACTAAGTTGATGCTTAGTAGTAGGATAACTGATAACAAGGCCAAAACCACTTCATAAGCCTGTTCCAATTTTAAAATGTTAGAATCAAGACAATTGGTAAAATTCATGAAACAATTATAGTCGATATTCTCATCATATTCGAAAGATTACATAAAAATTACAAATTACGAAGTTTTTTTTAATTAATAAAAAGTTGTGAAAAACATACAATTAGTCCTTTAGGACCAGATCTCAGGACGGGATCCTCTCTAGTAAGGATCCCGTCACTGAAAGGAGTTCCCACTCTCAAGTCTCAATTCATTAATCAAGGAAAATCATCTCCCCTTCGAAATTATTTACGGAGCATTAGCAAAGATTTTACTCCGTACCTATCAATTTAGCTATACTAAACTTTGAAAATGTTTAAATTTTCACTAAAAATTCGAATTAAAAAAAAAAAAAAAATGGAACCCCTATAAATTGATGCATCAAAGAACTACATGAAGAATGACACACAAAGGTTGAGACTTTACATGGTATGTTTTGAACAGTAGAGAAGAAGACATTATTGGAGAAGTACTTTATTTTGTGAAATAATAAAAAATGAAATAAAGACTGTCATATGAAGAATTTTATAGGCAGAAGAAAATAAATAAATATCAGTATTAGAGGAAACTCAAAGATTTTATTTGATTTATAAAAATGGAAAGAAATCATTAAGGAGTACAATTACATTAAATTGGTTAAATGGTAATAATAGATTGTTATCAATGAAATAAATGTATCTAATCTGATAAAAAATTAAGATTTCGTAACGCAGCGAATAATGAGATCAGCAAAAGGCCAAAGTGAGCAGGCGAAATGATGTTCGTTTGGTTTGTCGCCCTTCAATTCATGGGGCTTGCATGCTACAGACTACATATCATATGATGTGAGGCGTCAGACGTATATTCTTAGGTGCACACTCATGCACCTAGAAATAGGTGTAACAACAGCACAATATGAACATTAACTTTTCAGAAAGTGAACTTTAGGTTTCTTCTCCTTTATTTTTCTCCTTCATTTTTAATTTTCTCTCTCCTCTGTTTTTTTAATTTCCCCCCCCCCTTTTTACACTTTTTTTTATTGAATTTGTTTCTTACAACATGAAAATAGTTATTAAGTATGAATTTTTGTGTGAATTTCGATTTTGTGCTTTAATTTCGATTGATTAAGGTATATATGAATCTTTGAATTCACAAATTATACTCTATATTTTCTCCTTCCTTTTTTAATTCCTTTTTCCTCTTTTTTTTTTTTTTTTTTTTTTTATTTTTATTTTTCTCGTTTTTTCGATTTAACGATTGAATATGTTACTTACAATATGGAATTGGTTGTTTATTTGATTTTTTGAATTCATATGAATTGATTATTTTTTTAGCTTCGATCAATTTTATTTGTGTATGAATTTTCATTTGATTTTCTACATTTTTTTTTATCAATGAACATAATCATGCAAAATATGAACATATGCATAGGTTTCCTTAAATGTGAATATTAGCTTTTCAGAAAGTGAACATAAGCATAAAACATATGACCATATGCATTTCAGAAAGTAAACATAACAATTCAAAATATGAACGTAAGCATTGGTGTCCTTAAAGTGAATATAACCATTTAAAAGGTGAACATATGCGTAAAAAATATGATCATATGCATTTAAGAGAGAGAAGATATGCATAAACAAACTTAATGAGAACAACAAATATTTTCTATGAATATTTACATTATGAACATATAAAATATTATTATGAATATAAGGCATTTTGTTATGAACATAAAAAATTGAAGAAATAAAAATAATATGATTATGAAACATATGCATCTCAATTCATAAGTATTAAAAATATGAACATATGAATTCAAAATATGAACATATGCATTGATTCATTTTTGAATGCGTTCAACATAATTAAGCATTTCAGAAGGTGAACATATACATAAAAAAATATGAACATAAGAATTCAAAATATAAACATATGCATTTCGAAATGTGAACATAAAATATCCGTTTGATTTCACTATTTTTTTTGACAATTCCATAATAAATTTCGAACAATATTCAAACAAAATTAAGTGATAATCATATAAATTCAAACAAAATTAAGTGAAATTTACATAAAATAGCATTTTTGGGGAAGATCCTTTTGATTTTGCATCTCTTTCCTAATGTCCATTGAAGTTTTTGCAGTTTTTTAGTGAAAGAATGAAATAGAGGAGAGAGAAAGTGAAAAAGAGGAGAGAGAAAATCATATAGAAGAAGAAGATTTTTGAGTTTGGAAATGACTTTACATTTATTGGGTGTGGGTGGGTGTATTGCAATTTCCGTGTTTTTTTAGTTTTAGGGCATTTTTTAATTGGATGTGTGTAATTAGGGCTTTTGGGCTACGTTGTTACACCTATTTTAGGTGCACAAGGGTGCACCTTAGACTAATTGATTGATCTTTAATTCTTTATGATTTCCTACTTCATTTGTCTAATGTAATACGAGTAGAGCAGTAGATATTGGTGAAACGATATTTTCCTACCAAGTACAATTGTCTAGGGAATTCTCTATCTTTTTCGGGTATCTATCAGATCAGTATTCGTTCCGTTTCTTTTTAAATATGGAGTAGTTTGATTGTGTACGGTGTATATTCGGATATTATAGCATTATGTTTGCAGGGTGAAGAATCGGGTAAGGTAGTGTTTTGAGTTTTCCATTGGTCAAGTCTTGCATGAGCCCAAGTTGAGAATCAAGTTGGACATGGGTGAGATTAGGGGTGAAAGTTCGGTGTTCGGTTTGGTTTTTGGCCCAAACCGAAACCGAACCACCTTAATTCGGTTTCTTGATTTTAGAAACCACACCGCACCACTTTACTTTAGAAACTGAACCAAATTGAACCATATTTATTTCGGTTTCAGAATAAAAAAACCGAACCAAACCGATTTTTTTGGGCCTCTTTTATTTGGGCCAATAATCTGCAAATTGGGCCTCATTAATCAACACACTAAGTCACTATTCTCACTAACACAGCAAGCAGTGCAAATTAACAAAATAACAGCAAACAAATTTAGTCCAATTCATACAAAGTACAAAGTCTACAAACCAATCCAAATCATACAAACTTAAGTTTTCAGTTTAAATAACAAACTAACAAAGTATCAAATCAAACCAATCAATCCATACAAACTCAAATTAAACAAGTTTTAACAGAACTACTTAAGTTAAACATAACATGATCAACATTCAACAACATTACAGCCAGCAGAACAGCAAAACAATAGCAGCAGCCAGCAGAACAGATCGATCCAGCAGGCAGCAAAGCAGTAGCAACAGAACAGCAGAACAGTAGCAACAGAACAGCAGAACAGTAGCAACAGCCAGCAGAACAACAACACAGTAGGCCAGTAGCAGCAGATCAACACAGCAGTGGCAGCAGATCAACACAGCAGTAGCAGCACAGAGCAATCACTCAAGTATTTCGACCACTTCATCAATTTTAGCATCACCAATTGCCATATTCTTCATTTCTATCATAATTCAATAAAATTCACAAGATAAGAAACCAAAATAAATATATATACATAATGAAAAATAATTAACTTTGATTAAATGTTCTTATATTTTACCTTCTTCAAGATGCTCGACTTCCTCTAAACACTCTTCAATACTTGGGAATGGTGCAGCACGTAACCAATTTTGAGCACATACCAAACCTTCCACAACTCAAGGAGTTAATGAACTCCTAAACTGATCTAGAACTCTGCCTCCAGTGCTGAAAGCACTCTCGGAAGCTACTGTCGACACAGGAACAACAAGAACATCTCGTGCAATTTTAGCAACAGTAGGAAACCTTGAACTATTGAACTTCCACCAGCTCAAAATGTCAAAATCATCCACATCTTCAGCCGTATCCTCCTCCAAATATTTGTCTTATTCTATTTTTGCATCTCCATCTCTCTCACATTTGTGTTTCTTATACTTATTCTTCAAGACCTCTATCTTCTTATGTTTGGGAGACATTTGAATTTTATCATCACTACTTGAAGCCGTTTCCACCTTATTCCTATCACCATATGAAGAAACACAATAATCCTCATATAAAGCATTCATAGCTTCTTTCACATTTTTAACCAACTTTGATGCAACAATAGAATTATAGATTTCATTTATCATCCACTCAACATAATCAAGTTTATAACGAGGATCAAGGACAACGGCAATAAAAATCAAGAGGTTTATTTTTTCTGGATCACCCCAATACTTTTCATATTTATCTTTCATTCTACAAGCCATAAGACACATATCCGGATCATCACTTGACACCAAATCATTCAAAAGTATACTAACACTCACCAATTCATGAAAAAACAGATTCGAAGTGACATATAAAGAGCCAGAGATATGCATGGTCAAATCATAAAAAGCTTGCAGAAATTCAGAAAATCTTCTCACATTGTTCTAGTCATCAGCATCAGGGCTGCCCTTACCATCTGTCTCACTCAAATCAAGTAAATAGTGAGGGTCTTCCTCAGAATACCTCTCAAAAGCATCCTCAAGTTCAATAGCAGCAGATAACATCAAATAGGTGGAGTTCCACCTAGTGGGCACATCGAGGCACAATCCCTTTTTAGTGTAGATTTTTTCATCTACAACACATTTTTTAAACCTTTGCAACCTAGCAGGAGATTTTTTTATAAACCTAACAGCATGCCTTACACGTTGAATAGACTCATTAACAGTTTTCAACCCATCAGAAACAACCAAGTTGACAATGTGTGCAACACAACGCATGTGAATGAAACGACCCTTAAGAACCCCAGTTTTCCATCCATTCATTTTCCTTCTCAAATACCCAATTGCAGTATCATTTGAGCTAGCATTATCAACAGTTATACACATGACTTTTTCAAGCCCCCAATCAAGCAAACATTTTTCAATTTCTTTGCCAATATCATCACCCCTATGACTAGAAATAGGACAAAATTTCAGAATTCTTTTGTGTAATTTCCAGTCATTATCAATGAAGTGGACAGTCAAGCACATGTAATTGATTTGTTGTATAGAGGTCCAAGTATCAGTGGTTAAAGAAACTCTTGAATTACATTTCTTTAATTGATTTTTCAGCTTTCTTTTCTCAGTTAAATAAGTTTCAAAACAATCTTTTGCTACTGTAATTCGAGAAGGAACATTAAATCTAGGTTCCATTACACCACAAAAGTGTCTAAAACCTACACCTTCAACAAACTTATATGGAAGTTCATCAACAATTACCATATACGACAAAGCTTTTCTAATACAACCAGCATCAAATTTGTGGTATGTCAACCCACTAGTACCACCAGCAGCACTTGTTACTTTAGCACTTTTGAATGAAAGTAAACTTTGTTTTGAATCTTTAGGGGTGTTATAGGGATACTTACGACAACGGTTAATATGAGCCCATAACACACTAGTGCCGTTTTTCTTTGCCCCGCACTTGTAGCTCATCCCACAATACTTGCAAGTTGCCTGCCTTCTAGAAGGTAAGTCTTCTTTCACAAAATGCTCCCAAACTTCAGACCGCTCTTTCATCCTCTTCCTTTTTACACCTTCTTCTTTTTTGTTACAGTCAGATTGGTCAGTCTCAGGTTCA